ACAAACGAGGCAGATTTATGCCGCTTCAGACATTTCATTAAAAGACAAAGATCTTTTAAAGATACAAGATTTACGACTGCTTATTGCGGGCTAAAGGATCAATGGAGATGACAGATATTTCCCTTCCATAGCATACGGAAATAGTGCACGATAAAATAAGTAGATTTAAAAAATATTTTCCTTCTTCCGTCTTTAATTCTGTTATTACTTTTATTGACATCACAAGGTCGAACGTAATCATTTAAGGAGAGATGCCGTTTTCAGCCTACCTTTGCCAGCGATGAAAGTACAATCGTTTTTATTTAAATAGTTTAAATAATGCTAAGTTTATTGGGATTTGAAGCAAAAAATGAGCTATTATGAGCTTTCATTAAATATGCTTATTAAAAATGATTTATATTAAACTAATCAGATCTTTCTAAAGCTAACCAGATAATTTAAGTGGTTCAATAGGTAATAAAACATAATATTATCTAAACTGTAATATTAACGCATTTAACTAGCAGGCAAGAATTAAGAGCCTCATATTTCAAAGTGTTGTACAAGTGCCCATTAAAGCTAGGTGAAAAAAGAAGAATCTGATGTGTACACCATATGACTTCCTTGTACTGAATATTAATTTATACGCATTTTTTGCTGCATTTCATTTAAACTTATTTCCCCGAATTTCATTAGAGGTATATTTCTCATTCAATTAATTCAGCTGTCATTTCGCGGCAGGCCAAAAATTCATAAAACCTCAAAATATCATTATCAAATATTAAAAAATATAAAACCTCAAATACAGTTAAAACAATATTTTTTTTTTTTTTTTTTTTTGTAATTAAAAGTAGAATTTTACGCAAAAACCAGCAATTCGGCCGGCGGGTTAGAAGGCAGATTTTTCGGTGCACAATACTTTTGGTCCCACTCGGCAAAAAGACACTAAACATGTAAAAACTGAATTCACTATTCTGCTAAGTTTTAAATGTAAACAAACAAATAGGGCTGCTATGGTAATAAAATTAGGCTTAGTCGCACTTGAATAAATTTTAAATTGTTGATGATTCTACAATTATTGCCTGCAGATTAACTAAAGGCATAAAAAAACCTTAACCGAACAACATAATTCAACCATTTTTAAACCAAAAAATGCACAGTTCGCACATATAGAATAAAAAAAAAAAAAAAAAAAAGCTCACGAGCTGAGGAGCAAAGATATGTAATATACTTCTACTTCGGGGCGATTCAACCAAAAAGGTGGTGCATACTACTGTTACACAGTCCTATACAAATTTTCAACATTCTGAGGCTACTCGTTTTTGAGTTATGCGAGATATATACATACATACATACATACGTACGTACGTACAGACGTCACGAAAAAATCTCTTCTGAATTCATTTTAAATCCTTTTGTCAACCCATTTTAGGAAAAAGAGTTCTCAATTTTGTCCTTACGTACAGATGTCACGTAAAAACATCGTTAAATTGTATTCGATAGCGGTCAAGTATGAAGTAAAAAGTCTTTAAGCAATTTATCTGCAGTGAAATTTCATGAAGTAACTTTTTATTGATTATAAGCAATACTTCACCTAAAGCTATTATTGCTATAAATTCATCCGATGGATAAATATTAATTTTCTATAATCCCGAACAATATTTTGAATCTTTCAACGAAAAATACAAATTTATGCAGGTTGCATTCTTATTCCAGCTGAAACCAATGCGATTTGATCTAGTTTCGGGTTTACATTTTCCCTTGGAATTGGGTTAATACCATGACAGTAGCGGCTCTGGGGGGCACAATAACACGAACCCAGTTCCTATGGCCAGAAGGGCAGCCAGTGCTGTTTCGGACGGTCATGGTTTCGGCCGTCCGAGCGGGCTAGCATAGCGGCCAGAACTGAGGTTTTTCAATCGGCTTTCTCATCCTTCTTGGTCTCCGTATGCCTGGAAATGGTGACCCTGGGTTGCCGGTTCAGCAAGGGGTGCCGAGAGAGTTCAAATTTTCAGAAACTCCGCAGAAGAGTGGTATCCCATTGCGTGCAGTTTATGAATACGTAACGAGGAGTTCTTTTGGAGGCTTTTTGACAATTTTCCCGACTTCACGCCTAATACGGAGGTGTGGGGTTCGCCCGTGTAACGCCCATGTGTCAGAATCGGTAATGGCGGAACACGTATTTTGTAATAGACTTTCGGGTTTACAAGGGCTACGCTTTTGGTATAAATGCTGTTTGTTTCATAACCTATTATAATGGAATCCAACAAGGTACGAAAAAGAAGCAGAAGCTTGCGCAAGCAACTTTCGATGGACCGAATCATACCTTAATTAAATCATCTCAAAAGCAAAGGCTTACAGGAGAAATTTGCAAGAACAATCAGGTGAGAATATTTTTTACCCATTTCTGAAACGATAGAATCTCCCCAGCTATTCAATAACAAAATTTATGCAATTTTCAGTTTACTTTTCGAAAAATATATCGAAAAATATGTTGATATTATTTCATATAGTATAGTAAAAAGAGAGTAAAGGTATGGTGGCATTAAATTTTTATTAAACTTATTCGCTCACATATTCTAACATCTTATCCATCGATTTTATTGCCCGATTGGGACTTCTTTTGCTATTTCACCTTCATTTGCTTTATCACGCTTTTAGCTATTGCATCAAGAATGTCTTGGTCTGATAAAAATCTATAGTTTTTACCATTTTCAGTTTTCTCTGTTATTCAGGCTTCCTTTTTTTAATTATTTGTTAACTAGGATTAAGATCGTAGGGTTATTATTAGTCCAAAGGGATTTGAGTCCGGAAGGACTATTACTTTCGTTTTGGCATTTTGCGTCGGACTCATAAATGTCGGTTCACTTTTTCAAACTGTTGCCCAAAATTTAGAGTCCTGCATTATTTTGAAGAAATTAATATAAAAATCTGCATAAAGTATGTATATTTCTCGTATTTGATAAACAACGGTACATAGAACAATCGAATTTGAATGACGTAATCCCCCTACGAATTAGCATCTGGAATCCCAAATTTGAAATTTGGAATTTGTTTTATTATCGATTTCATATTTTGTAAAACTTTCACGAATTTTGAGTAACAAACTCAACTATTTTAAAACGCGCAATGGCAACCCTCTACGGGAGAAAAAAAAAAAAAAAAAATATTCCAGCGCGTCGAACTGTGTATCGGAAATCTAAGATATGCTCATTTAAAATTATTTCGCAACACTGCTATTGACAAAATTTTATGTTTAAGTCAAAGACATGATATTAATAAATAAAATCCCCACTATACTAAAAAAAAAAAAAAATTCCTTTGGACGTAATTTAAAATCTGAAATATTTTAGTTTTTTTTTTTTAATTAACCAGTTATTTATAATTTCTGCTTTACTATCACTTCTTCTTTCCGTTTCTTTAACAGAATGGAATTCAGTTTCAGGCTATTTTTCAGAGGGTTTTGGATTCTGAGACAGAGCGTGTTTCTACCTCTCAAGGCCACATTACTAGGTTTCGCCAGCTTTTATAAAATTGTAATTCTTCGGCTGTGCGTTACTGCTGCCGGCATTTAATTGTTACACTGTCAAACGTTTTGAGCCAACTTCGATTTCAATCATTTCTGTAGTCTGTGACTGTTTGGTTTAAAGTTTGAATTTGACTGTTCCTTTAAGTTACCTTGCCACAAATGGCCACAAGCTGATTTTGTGAGCACGAGAAGTGTATTTATATTCAAGTTTTGTTTTTTAGAACTCTTTCCTTACTTCAGGTCAGTGATAATTAGCTCTGCGTATGTTAGGAGTTTGATACTAGTTTATGCAACGAAAGAAAGTCAAACTCTATAAGATTTTAACTTTATTTCTAGCCCTGGCGATAAAATTTCTTACACAGAAAATTGTGTTTCTCCCCAAATTGAAAAAAAGTCAATTGATTTATTTTAGGAAAACTGGTGATGACGTTGGAAAAACCTGGAAAATATACTTATGCAAACAAATCTTTGAAATTATGCTTCGTGATATGAAAAATCTAATTAATTTGGTTATTATTACTTTAAATTAAAAGAAATCTAGTTAAGGATGAACGTGAGACATCATCTGTTGATCACTGGCTAAGACCAGGTGCCCCTTTCATCGTCAACCGAATTGAACTCGCCAAGTTTTAAATTCGTGTCAAACTACTAGTGTTAAGTGACTTGAATCGCTCTGTCACTAATGGTCGGGTTTGGTTTATGTGATTACAGCAAAGACTCAAAGGAGAGGGATGCATTCGTAGAAGACTTTCTTAAGGAAATTGGCTCGTATATATGCGTTACACATGAAGAAAACCACGAAAACACCCATGCAGCCAGCTCATTCGCGGGATTCGAACCTGGGACCGAACTACCAGTGTTCAGCGACTTTACCACTCGGCCGCATGTGAACGCTGTCACTGATGGAATTCCAAGTACCAGTTTGACAAGTTCCGTTTTTGCTGGGCGAGGTACGGACAACCGTACATAAATTATCGGGCATTATGTGTTGTAAAACTAAATTAGGTGACATCATTTTTTGAGTCTTAGTAACTATACTGTCAATTACTAGAAATTATTTTATATTTTGTTATTATTTAATATTTCATTGTAATCATTTTTTATGCCAAGCTGGCTCCAATAGTCACTTTTAATTATTTAGGTATTGCCAAATTTTTTTAAGTTTCAATAACATTTAAAAATTTTAATGATAAGAAGGAATTAAATTTGCACCTTTTTTGAGAAAGCATAGCGTCTATCCATGACAACCACGCAAATACTTCAAACAGCAACTTTTCATCGATATTCAATTAAGTACGATTTAATCAGACAACATTTAAAGTAATTGCTGAAAGAATTTTAACTAAAACAGCGTTACATTTTTATAAATTGTAAATTTACATTTGAGTTAGTATTTGCTTTTAAATGTGGATATATAATAGACACAGAACCACAACAAGATGCAGTTTGAGAAGACGAATATTTAGAAATAAAACACTTCTAAAAAGCAAAATAAATCATGAATACCGTTTAATTTATTTTTAAATTACAGTCTTCAAATCTGAATGAACACACTGATATACATCTAAGTAATTACTTTTTTACACATATGTCCAAATGTACATTTTGTAATCTCAATATTCTACCCACTTCGGATGGCTGCACACAAATTTGACAAAACATGACTGATATCAGTTAGAACTTATGCTTACAGAACGGAAATATCACAAAATTTAAGCATTATGAGGAGTCCAGTTATCACATTTATCTCGGACAAAATCCACTATTACGTGTCCCCTGTTTGTCTGTGTAAGTTTATTTCAAACAGACATTCAACTGAAATTCCCTTTTTTTTTTCGTTTACACAAAATTATGCTCCATTAATACTTCAGTTTACGAAATATTTAGTCTCTTGCCATACAAATTCATTGGTTGCTAATATTAGGCAGTTAGTGTCGCAAGCATTTATAAAAAGAGATTCTTGTACTAGAAGAATTAACTTACACGATGAAATCAACATTTTAAACGTTATTTGTAAATCAGTAACTATCGATAATGCACCTGAATGTTAACATTATCCTTTGCTCGAAATTCGTAATAGTAATAAATTTTTATAATAGAAAAGCCTCAAATATTTTCAAGTATGCGCTGGATGTCTTTCAAGGGGATTCACAAGTAAAGTCACCAAAGATTTTTTTCTTTTTTTCTAACTCCAGGCTTTTCAGGAAGTTTCCTAAATGAAAATAATTGCTATTATTAAAATTAAATTTAATTAATGAAAGCAAAAAGGGATACGCCTTGGCTGCCTATACAGAGTCAAAATACAAATTCGCTCAAAACAAACTGCACTTTGGAAAATTTATGTACATATCCATTCATTTTCATTTCTATCTATTCTTAATAAACCACGGCCTTCACTCACTATGTGTGCAATCATTAGCAGTTGAACAGTGTTGTCATAAACTCTGATAATCAGCAACCATACGTAATTCTAAGTCACTCATAGCGGATGAAGTAATATGGTGAGGCATAGCGTCCAAAACATTGGAGAAACGGAACTGTTGTTGTTGTTGGCCGGGAAGTTGTTGATGATGGCTTGCAGTTGCTTGATCTTCAATTCTGGAGGAATGGTGAGATTCGGACTTTATATCCAAAGGATAGAGGGAGTCATCCGGAGATTTCCGACTACTGGAGTCTCCATCTTCATTGGATGAATCTCCGCTACCCATGCCACTACCTTTACACCGATCACCTCCTAAAATATCCCTAAAAGAAAAGAAAAATCAGCAATATGTAAGCAATATATAGCGTATGTAATAAAATATGAGAAATTTTTAAGAATTTAAAACTGAATTGTTAAGAAGTTGAGACGCTCTTAAATCACATTTTTAGTCAAATGCACATGAAGATAAACGGTGCAGCATAACAACTGGTTTTCCAGATTGGAAATTTTGCACTTTTGAAAGCATTATTCTAGGTAATTTTTTGTTAGAGGATATTTTTAAGAGAACAGTAGTACCTCGACTTCTTAAGATGCGATAATTATTTCAACATTGCGTCTCATGCAACTATGGTACATACGTTAACAAAAATAACAGCTATGAAAAGCACACTGTAATTTACTTTCGTTTCTTACAGCAAAACGTTCTAGGACTGATTTATCTGTATCATAATAAGCGTATTATAAAGTTAGAAAAAATGAATGTTACAATAATTTTATAACACTGCGATAAGAAAATTATTATAAAAATTTATTACTTTACTGTTAATACAACCACAGAATCACATTTCTAGATTTCGATCCTTCATTATAGTTTTTGAAATGATCTTTGATTTCAGTATCGAAATGTAATTCATTCTTTACACCATCTGGAAAATCTTTCTACTGAAAACCTGAAGAATTTTCCTTGCATTTTATTCTCATTGTTAATAACATTGAACACGAATGAATCCACTTGAAGAAATGCTATCAAAACCGCAGTCGATAACATAGCTTTAAATAGCAACATAAATGTGATAACTGAAAGCAGTCATCAGTATAATCATTAATGCATCAAAGCACATGAGTTCATCAGTAATCGGAATTTGATATTAAGATTATCAAACGCAGTAATGCATGCAAACTTCTTTTCCTTAATGTGCAACGGCTATCAGATCTATAAATCTGAGAGATCATAATTAATTTTAATGTAAATCGAATTTCTAAAGACCCAAAATGATGTTATCTTATCATAGTTATCCAATTAAAAGATGGAATGCGGCAGATTTCCAAATTGAAGGACGAATAATATATTTGATACTTTAATAATTAATCAGTGAGGTGCTTTAAAATCAGAATTAAAATTTTCAGATATCGTATTTCAACGAAAATATCCATTTTGACCGCTATTGAATGCAATTTAACGATGTTTTTGAATGACATCTGTACGTAAGGACATAATAAAGGTCATTTTTTTTTCCAAAACGGATTATAAAATGAATTTAAAATGGATTCAGAAGAGATTTGTTCGTGACGTCAGTACGTACGTAATTCGCATAATTCAAAAGCGAGTAGCCTCAGAACGTTAGAATTTTGCATATAGGACCACTATTTTTTTTTTTTTTTTTTGTTCAAATCGGCCATACCAAAAGTATATAAATGTTATATACCCACTCTGTTACCCGCCTCCGTTAGCTCAGTTTTTTTATTCTTATAATTTGGTGAATTATGACTTTTTGCTTTCAGGAATGATTGAATTATATTGTTCTTATGTTCCGGTTAAGGTTTTTATTCCTTTAGTTAATCTGCATGTAATATTTGTAGAATTATCAACAATTTTAAAGTTGTTTAAGTGCGAATAAGCCTAATACAGCAGCCATATTTGTTTAGATTTGAAACTTAGGAGAATAGTGAATTAAGTCAGTTTCTGCACCTTCAGTGTCTTTTGCCGAACGGGACCAAAAGTAAACTTTTAGTTTTGTGCACCGAAAAATCTGCCTTCTTCAGCGCTGGCCGAATTGTTTGTTTTTGGACAGAGACTAATTTTAATTGTAAAAAAAAAAAAAAAAAAAAAATTAACTGTTTCAATTGTATTTGGTGTTTTACGTTTTTCTAGATTTTTCAATTTTTAATGAAGTTGTTTTGAATTTTTAAGTATTTTTGCCTTGCCACGAAATGAGAACTGAATTAATTGTATGAAAAATATATCTCTACCGAAATTCGAGTAAATAAGTTTAAATGAAATGCAGCAAAATATGTGTATAATTTAATAGGCCGTACAAGGAAGTCATGTGGTGTCCATCAGATTTTTTACTACTACAATTATTTAAAATACAGACAACAGAAAATAATAAATGTTAAATCATGTGTCAATATATCACAAACTTCTATTTTTATATGATTTCTTTCTTATTTCATGATAAAGCATTTTACCTGTAAACAATTAATTACCGATTTTATTAATAATTTTTGGCAATCAGTGTGATATTGATTATGCTGATCAGTTGCGCATTTTTTCCAATAAAATATGCATAAATAAGAGATTAAATCAGTCTCTTTGTAATTGCATTTTTATAAATAATATAAGTGTGGGTGCCCTTGATAAATTTATAAATATAATGGCTTATATTTTTGACAATGCAATTAAATTAATAGATTTCGTTATATAGGCACTGACACTTTTATTATTCATGATATAAAACTGCAAATGAGTTTTGTAAAGAGAATCATTTAATCTTTTGATCTTTTGTTCCGATTTAGCTCTATGACAATCATTTTACTTCTTTTATTTCATTGTTTATAAGTTTTAAATAAAAGCTGATTTGATGAAAACTTTTAATTTTTTTAATTTCCATCAATTTAGTCTCAATGACATGTCATCAATCAAATTATTTAAAAAAATCATTCTTTCAACAATTAATAATTAGACTTCCAACAATTTTGTTACTTTTTACAACAATTATTTCCAACAATTTTGTTACTTTAAATACTGGAAAAAAATTCAGCAATTTTGTCCCCCCCCAAAAAAAATTATTATAAATTACATCAAAATTTTATATAAACTTCATTAAAAAGGTCTATTCCATGGGGAATTGTATAAACAGTAAAGTTTTGAGAGTTTTAATTTGTTCGTTAAATGAAGGTAAGTGCAAAAAATCGTTTCAACATTAAATTAAAAAACTCTTAATAAAATTTTGAAAAAAATCGCTTCACCATATTGTATTGCCATCCACAATGAGTTGCTTGTGCAAAATCTGTACTCAATGTACTCAATAACTTATCAGGGAACAGCTTAAAAATAAATCGTCAAGTTTTGACCATTCGGATAAACAGAGTGAGTTAAATAAAATGCATATAGGTAAAAAACGAGAACGTTTATTAACTAGAATTAATATTTTTGCATCATTATTGTCTTGAAATAGCGTGAAGAGTTTGTTTTATAACCTTCGAAAATTTCAGATCTTCATAGCAGGTACATTGTTAAATGTTAAAATTTTAAAATCCCATAAAAATATAATATTAATTTCGTAATAAATTTATGAAAATCAATTTTTAAAATAAAATATTAAGATAAATAAAAAATATATCTTCAGAACCAATACAAGGCCTTGTGTTTTATATTGTAGCGTAATTAAAAAAATACAGAAAACCATCAATTAAATATATTTTGGGTATATTAAGAGGGTGAAGTGTGTTTCATAACCTGTGAAAATACATTTCTAGACGTTAAAATTTTTAAATTATGGTCATCAATCAAAATCTTCAATAAATAAAAATCATTAATCGTTTTAAAATAATGGACAATCAAAATCATTAATAAATCAGTATGATCGAGCGATTTTCTAAAATTAGCCAAGAAATCAGAAATTGTGTTACAAATTTCATTTAAAAGATTTTTTCCCGCTCTATCCAATAGTTTAAACAGTAAATTTTAATTTGTTCGTTAAATGTAGATACACCCGAAAAACTGTGTTGCATTAAATTTTAAAAATATCTAAATCGAATTTCGAAACAATAATATACTATACATATATGCAATATAATATTCTCATCCATAAGCAATACACAATTTAAACTCTCTAGCTTATTAGGAAGTGGTTTAAAAACCGATGAATATCTCTTGACCACAACGACAAATAACATGAGCGAACAAAGGAAAAAAAAAAAAAACTCATAAAAGCAGCAATATTTTTAAGAGGACACAACTATTCTTTATTACAGTTTGAGATGTATATAGACTTTACTGGAAAAACAGAAGTAGGTATTCTGAAGTTTAAAAATGCTTACTATGTTGAATAAAAATTTCGAAAACAAATTCTTCTGTAAAATTCTTAATTCATCAAAAACAGAAACAAATTCTTCTGTAAAATTCTTAATTCATCAAAAACAAAGTCTTTCGCTCATATCTGTTATCTATTGAAAAATCAAAACTTCTTTGCATGAAACAAGCACTAGATAACTTTATGACAGAAACTGACGAAATCACTCTTACCATAATTTTGAAACAGAAGGAATAGATACGAATTTCAGTTTTCTAAATTTTTAACGAAGAAGGAAAGTAGAACTTTTCGACCGAGCGAAGTATGTATATAATGAAGGCTAATTAATTTAATTAACTGCTCCAAACACGGAGCAAATTTATATTACCACTTGAAAATGTTGTCTTACTTGAAAAAAATCTCAAAACATAGTAGCAAACTCGTTTCTCCGGCACCCAGAATCTGCAAACAATAATTTCATTTCTTTTTTTTTTAAACTTTTACACTTGTAAGACAGTTACGGAGAAAGGAAGCATAATTTAACATATTATTTATATTATTTTAACATTGTTAAAGAAAGTGATGCTTAAAGACATATATTAAGCAGATAGTATTTTATTAATATTTTTAATAAATGTTGTTAAACATCAAATCAAAATAGGGAAAATCCTCTTTTTTCACTAACTTGCACTCTCTGCTCGTTCTTTCTCACATTTCTGTCTAAGGGAGTACAGCGGCAGTTTTCAGTTTAATTTAAAATGAGCTTAAAAAACGCTGCAATATAAATTAGCGCTGAGAGATAGCAGTTCGTATTTCGACTTCTTAAAGGTCTTAACTTTGCAAATTCCTCAAAAATTTCTGCTATGTAGGCACTTTCTATTAACAACGTTTACAAGAACTCCCACACACCTGAGTATCGTTGGAAGTGGATGAAAAGCAGAAAGGAATTACTGAGGACAGAAGAAACGCAGCTGTCATTTAAGACGGTCAGGAAGTTTTATGATAGAACAGTGAACTGATTTGCTGTA